ACATGGGAACCAACTACCAAGCAACCTGAGAATCATCACTTATCCTTTCGAGTTAATAAATTTTGATTCTTATCTTAAAACTCTGAAGAGATTGCTACCTACCTCGTAGGCCTTTCATACTTTAGAGCATTGAAATTTTGGAGGTATTTCGCGAAGTGTCAGTAGTATTTGTACTGGCTCATATTGCTTTGCAACCTAATTGTAATATAAGCAGATACTGTTTGCTAACATTTTAAATCCGAATGTTTCAGTTTTATTATTGTCGATCCTTAATTCGCGCACACACAAACGAATCCAACCTTTTTTCTATCTTCCTCTTTCTCTCCCGTCCTTAAGCTTATGTCTACCTTGACCTTCCTGGGAGAACATATGTGTGCATTTGTGTATAAGCTATAGGTTTATCTTCACTCATTGTGTGCGTACCGCGATAGAACATAGGGACTTAAGGTCATACCAATACCATTCGCGAAAATACTGTGTAATGTCCTATGTGAATAGATTTTCGAATGTAGACTATGATCCGTCCACTAGATATTATCGCTGAGAACGTATATGGTCCTGAATGCCCATTTTTTATGCTTAATTTACTACATAAAAATGCGAAATTGTGCTTCACTCCAACAATTTGATTTCCCTATCGTCAAAAATCATCAGGGAATAAAAACCAGGCGGGCTTTTTACCTTGCGCGGAGCGGAGTACACGAATAGACGAACTTTAAAATTTTGTTCACAACTCAGTGATCACGTACGAATAAGCAGAAAATTAAAAATCAAGAAACATGTTCAAGAGGAAAATTTTTTTTTTGCGATAAGGAACTTACACTAAATGATACATGCATAGTAAAACGTCGATTCCAGATCTGCCTTCCACATCTGTCAAACGTTCTTCATGAGGAAATTGTTTGCCTATAATAGCGTGCAAGACAATCCTGTAATTGCTCCAATAACTATCTACCGGAAACTACGGCACAAGGAAAATTTTGATTAAAACGTTGATATAACTACATTCAACTTTGATGCCGCTATTCGGCTAAACTGAACGTCTGCACATTTCTTTCACTTCTCAATAAGCCAATTCCTGCAGAGAAGAAAGTCCTTAACTTTTCTGAAAGAAGGATTTGAAAGAAAAGTGACGAACTTGCATACATAGTTTTGAGCTGCACTTTTTAGTATTTATGATTTTTTGAATCGCCACATTGCAAATATCTTTCCTTGTCAGATAACATCGCTGACGATGCAAGGGAACGGAATTGCGTCAGTAGGAGTGAA